GTTTATGCTGATTCAGATGGGTTTATACAGATTCAGACGAGTTTATTCCAGTTCAGACTGATTCGGACTCATTTATACCAGCTCATATTAGTTTATTCTGGTTTGGACAGTTTTATTCCAGTTCAGATTGGCTTATTCCAGTTTATGCCAGTTCAGACCAGCTCAGACTAGTTTATTCCAGTTCAGACTGGTTTATTCCAGTTCAGACCAGTTTATTCCAGTTCAGACTAGCTTATTCCAGTTTAGACTGGTTTATTCCAGTTCAGACCAGCCTGATCCGGTTCAGACCAGCTTATTCCAGTTTATACATTTCAGACCAGCTGAGACTGGTTTATTCCAGTTCAGACCAACTTATTCTGGTTTATACCCATTCAGATAAGCTCAGACTGGTTTATTCCAGCTTAGACCAGTTTATTCCAGTTCAGACCAGCTTATTCCAGTTCAGACCGGCTTATTCAGGTTCAGACCAGTTTATTCCAGTTCAGACCAGCTTGTGCCAGTTCAGATCTGCATATTCTGGTTTATACTGGTTCAGAGCAGATCTGACTGTTTTACTCCAATTCAGACTGGCTTGGTTCTGGTACAGACTGGCTTATTCCAGTTCAGACTGGCTTGTTCTGGTTCAGATCAGCTTATTATGGTTTATACCAGTTCAGACCAGCTCTGACTAGTTTATTCCTGTTCAGACTGACTTTTTCTGGTTCAGATCAGCTTATTCTGGTTTATACCAGTTCAGAACAGCTCAGACTGGTTTACTACAGTTGAGACTGGCTTGTTCTGGTACAGACCAGTTTATTCCAGTTCAGACCAGTTTATTCCAGTTCAGACCGGCTTATTCCAGTTTATACTGGTTCAGACCAGCTCTGACTGGTTTATTCCAGTTCAGACCAGTTTGTTCCAGTTCAGACCAACTTATTCCAGTTCAGGCTGTTTTATTCCAGTTCAGACCGATTTATTCCAGTTCAGACCAGCTTGTTCCAGTTCAGACCACCTTGTTCTGGTTCACACCAGCTTATTCTGGTTTGGGCCAGTTTATTCTGATTCAGATGGATTTACTCCAGTTCAAACTAGTTCAGACCACTTTATACTGGTTCAGACTGGCTTATTCCAGTTCAGACCAGTTAGTTCTGGTTCAGACTGGTTTATACCAGTTCAGACCAGTTTATTCTGTTTTCTACCAGTTCAGACCAGCTCAGACTAGTTTATTCCTGTTCAGACCAGCTTATTCCAGTTCAGACCAGTTTATTCCAGTTCAAACTGATTTATACTGGTTCGGACCAGTTTATTCTGGTTCAGACCAGTTTATCCTGGTGCAGACCGGCTAATTCTGGCTTATAGCAGTTCAGACCAGCTGAGACTGGTTTATTCTGGTTCAGACTGGTTTATACCAGTTTAGACGGGTTTATTCCAGTTCAGACTGGCTTATGTTTATGCCAGTTCAGAGTGGCTTATTCTGGTTCAGATTTATTTCAGTTTGTAAGGGTCCAGAGATCGGTCTAACTGATGGAGATGCAGAAAAGACAATGACAATGCAACTGCAAAAGAGGCTTTTATTTTTCCAGCTAGCTGGGGTCCAAGTTTCTGCCCGTCGCAGCGGGCCTTAACAAGGACCCCGAGCCTAAGATAAAGTGATCTTTTATAGTTCAGGATTTTCCATAGAATGTAACACATACAAGGGAGGGGGTATGAGAAGCAAGGGTCCAGCTATCACCACCTGCTCAGGTCTAGATAAGGACTCTCAGCTAAGGGTCTGGATGACCTTGCCTCGGAGGTGCTGGGCCCTCCTGTTTTCCACTTATCTGAGAGTTCCCAGACTCCTGATTTCTGTCCTTGAGGCCCTAACAAAGTGGGCTTCGTCCTTGAAGACTTAACAGGGTAGCAATTAAGCTAACTTGCCCCAGCATTCCCTAACATGGCAGTGATTATGCTAACTTGGCCTAACAAGTTCAGACAGATCTATTCCAGTTCAGACCAGTTTATTCTGTTTCAGACTGGTTTATCCAGTTCAGACTGGTTTAGACTAGTTTATTCCAGTTCAGACTGGTTTATTATTTGGGTTCAGACGGATTGAGACTGGTTTATACTGGTTCAGACCAGCTCTGACTTGTTTATTCTTAAAGATAACAGCTATGCCCTATTCCATGGCTTTGACTCTTTTTATTATTCATGGTTCTCACAGTTCTGGTTGGCAATGCTTTTTTAATTTTACTATAACACTGGTTAAACTGTCTTGCTCTGAATTGTATAATTTTGTTTGGACCACCTGGTAATTGTATATTTGCATTTTGATTTTAGTGATGCAAACACCTGTGACCTGTTATATATATATTTTTTTACAATTAACTGAAATTATTTCCATTGAAATGTACCATCATGGGCCATCAAGTGATGTAGAGGTTAAGGCGCTGGATCCCACATTGCTAACAACAGTTCAAGTCCCAGACCTGGAGGCTTTGAAAATCATGCTGGATGTGTGTGCATACATGTCACAAATTCCGAGGAGACTGAAGAAGGAATTGTGGTGTGGTCATACCCCCTAGGGGATGATTTCTAACTTTCTCTCTCTCTCTCTTTCTGGAGATCGCATGGATCCTATAGTAAACTAAAGTGTGTGTGTGTGTGTGTGTGTGTGTATTCACCTGGGGAAATGATTTCTCACTTTCTCTATCTCTCTGTCTCTCTCCATTTAGCACACAAGCCTTATGGTAAACCATTTATTTATTTATTTGTTTGTTTGTTTATTTATTTATTTATTTATTTATTTTGGAGAGGTTTTTGCTATAGAGTGCATTTACTAACTCTTGTTTCTATATAATGGAAAGTTACTTCCTTTGTTAAATTTACTCCTAAGGGTTTCATTTATTTGTATTGCTGCTAATGTAAATGGAATTGCTTTTTAGCTACTTCATTATGGTGTAAGGAAACATAACTGATTTTTATATGTTAATTTTTTATCTCCCAACTTTACTGAATTCATTTATCAAATCTAACAGTTTTTTGGTGGAGTCTTTTCTTTATGTACTCTAGCTCAGTACTAACCTGATTGAAATATGGGATATGGCTGTTCGATGCACTTCTGTAGCTACTTAGTTTAATTCAGAGATTTAGGTACAAAAATCTAAAGAAAGTCTGTGGGATAGTAGGGCAGAGATACCTATCTCTTTGTCCCCAGGTAGTTTCCAGAAACAGGAAAAAAAAAAAAAAGACTGAGGAGCCCCCAAAATATCTAACTACACATCTGTGATACTACCCTGATAACCTAGGTCATAGCACTCTGAGACACTTGAGAAGTAAGGGGAAGTTTCTTATCATGTCACCCTCAAGGCATTAATATGGACTGCTGGTGTTGTGGAGGAGTTGGAAAGAGAGGAGGTTTTCTGTGTGGAAGGAAAAGTTGGAGAAAGAGAACACAGACAGTGGGGTTGATCACTCACATGACAAGAAGTCCAGACCCAAATCTATTAATTTAAAGTTGTGTAAGTAAAACTAGAACATCACCATCATGATGGATTTTTTTCAGCAAGTGGCTTTACTTTTTACATATTTGCAAGTTTTTTGTTTGTTTGTTTGTTTGTTTGTTTTGAAGAGGTTTTTGCTATAAGGGCGCGTGTGCTCATCAGAGAGACAAGGCAAGAAATCATCCCCCAGGGGGGATGGCCATGCCGCAATCCCTTCTCCTCCATTCTCCTCTTGGGATCTTGGGCACTGCATTTAACAGTACAAGATAACCTCACTATCTTATACTTATATGTCATTTTTTTAAAGTGAGCACTTATGTGCAGGACAGCCAATAGTGTGGTGGGTAAGGTGGCTGAATCCTACATGACCAACCACATGATTGGAGTCCCAGACTGGCAACTTGAAAAACATATCAGGTGCGTGTATGTATGTATCCAATATCCTCAAAGAAGGGGGAAATGAAGGAGGTAGGATTACAATGTGTTCTCACTTTCCCTCTCTGTCCTTGTCTCTCTCCAGTGAACACACTTGCCCTCTGGCAAATTTAAAAAAAAAGGCTCAGAGATACCAATACATTCACTTAAAAATAGTTATTTTTCTCAAAATTCTGAGTAATTTGCTAAATTATTTGTTAAAATTCTTTTAGAGTTTTTGTTAGTTATTTCTTCATAGACTCAGGGTTTTTTCATGTTAAATCTATCTAAAATTTTCTCCACTTTGATTCTCAGAGAGGAAACCTTAGTGTTGATTATGAAATGAGTGATCACTGAAGATTTTCCTTCATTCATGACATTGACAGTGTTTCATAAATTTTGACTCCTCACATGTGTCACAAAGACTGTTCTATGAATAAAGTATTTCTATTTCTCATGATTTTTTTGTTGAATCATTTCTCCAGGAAAAGTCATTTGATATTCCTTGAGAAGCTTCATCCTCTTATATTCTGTTTTAGCAGCTATTTCTTCATTGGTTTGTTTTGTTTTTGTACACACTGAGCCTGGTACCTGGCTGAATGTTAGTTTATTAGAGACCAAGGGGTTCTTATGAGTAATTTTGATCATGTTATTTTAACAATAAAATATAAATAGAGACGTTCTCAGAATGATTACAAGTGTTCTTCCCTATACAATTTCTCTAGTGAGTTTAAACTGAGAGCTGTTGTTGAAGACTTCTACATTCACTATATTATAGAGGATGTTATCTCATGCCATCTATGATAGACAGCTTACTGAAGATTTGCCACACCATATGCTTCTCTTCCTTATAAATTTGTGTATATGAAATAAGGGCAAGGTCACTACAAGATCTTTCACATTGATTCCAGAGAGTGTTTCTTCAATGTGCACATTCTCAGGTATTTTAATTTTACCAGTATGGCTTATTACATTCTTATTGCCATGCCATTATAGGTCAGAATATATACTGAAGTTATTTAGCATTCTCTTGTATGTGTTCTCTCATGTAGTCTAATGGAAGAAAACTGACTGAAAGCTTCCTCACAGAGATGGCATTTGTATGTTTTCTCTACAGTATGTGTTTTTTCATGCTAAGATGAGAAGATCTGCTGAAGGCTTTTTCACACAGAGGACATTCATAAGATCTCTCTCCAGTGTGCATTTTCTCATGTCTTCTGAGTGTAGAAGACTGATGGAAGAGGTTTTTCCACACAGGTGGCATTTATATGGCTTCTCTGCAGTATGTATTTGCTCATGTCTTCTAAGGGCAGAAGACTGACTGAAGGATTTTCTACACAGATGGCATTCATATGGTTTCTCTCCAGTGTGCATTCTTTCATGTTTTTTAAGGACAGATGATTCGCTGAAGGCTTTTCCACACAGGTGGCATTCGTGTGTTCTCTCTCCAATGTGTGTTCTCTCATGTTGTCTAATGGCAGAAGATATGTTGAAAGCTTTCCCACACAGTAGGCATTCAAATGGTTTCTCTCCAGTATGCATTCTCTCATGTCTTCTTAGGGTAGAAGATTGACAGAAGGTTTTTCTACAAAAATTGCATTTATGTGGTCTCTCTTCAGTATACATTTTCTCATGTTGTCTAAGGGTAGAAAGTTGACTGAAGGTTTTCCCACACAGATGACATTTGTATGATTTCTCTACAGTTTGTATTATCTCATGTTTCCTAAGGGCAGAAGGCTGACTGAAGGCTTTTGCACAAAGATGGCATTTGTGTGGTTTCTCTACAGTACGTGTTCTCTCATGCTCTCTAAGATGAGAAGATCTACCGAAGGCTTTTTTACACAGATGGCATTCATATGGTCTCTCTCCAGTGTGCATTCTCTCATGTTGTCTAAGGGCAAAAGGTTGACTAAAGACTTTCTCACATTGATGGCATTTGCATGGTTTCTCTGTAGTATTCATTCTTTCATGTCTTCTGAGAGTAGAAGACTGACTAAAAGCTTTCTCACACAGATGGCATTTGTATGGCTTCTCTGCAGTATGTGTTCTCTCATGCCTTCTAAGGACAAAAGACTGACTGAAGAATTTTTCCACATAAATGGCATTTGTATGGTTTCTCTCCAGTGTGCATTCTTTCATATCTTCTAAGAGTAGAAAATTCACTGAAGGCTTTCCCACATAGGTGACATCCATATGGCCTCTCTCCAGTGTGTGTTCTCTCATGTTGTCTAAGGGCAGAAGATATGCTGAAGGCTTTCCCACAGAGATGGCATTTATATGGTTTCTCTGCAGTATGCGTTCTCTCATGTCTTCTAAGGGTCGATGACTGATTGAAGGCTTTCCCACACAGATGACATTCATATGGCCCTTCTCCAGTGTGAGTCATCATGTGTTGTCTAAGGTTAGACAAATTACTAAACACTTTCCCACGTAGATCACATTCATTTGATTGGCCTCTTGTCTGAGTTTTCTTGTTTTGATTAAGGTATAAGTAGCCACAATGAGATTTTTCACACTGTTTGTTGACAAAGAGTTTTCTTGCTATGTGAGTTACCAATTTTTGAATCATTGAAGAGCTGTGAGTAAAATCTTTTCCCAAATCATTCCATTCAAATGTATCTTCTTGAGCATGAGATTTCTGCTTTTATGAAGGAGATGAAAGGTTGTTAATGATTTTCCCACATACATCCATACATTATTATATCTGCATATGAATCTTAGGCTAATCATTCAGTGTTAGTCTGGTAGTAAATTCTTTGCACTATTCCCTGCATATACATCATAGATTACTCTACTCTAGGCACATTCAAATACATTCTTTATGTAGCATCCCAATTATAGGACCATCAGATTAATTTTGAAAACTTCAATGTATTTCAAAGACTAGGAATATGAGACATGCTTATGTAATCATCCATTATTTTTAAGATCTCAGGTTATGGTTTTGAACTCCCAGACTAATGTTTCCAGTAAATTACAGTGATCTAAAACTTTTGGCTCAGAAAATGTTTAATCACTATTTAATTACGGTCAGGTAATTGTGCTCAATTTCCAATAAAACCCATTGTTAGGTAATTATTTGGAAGATCAGTGTTCACATCCATAGAACTTGCCATTACCCTAATAGTGGCTGTGTCCTTCGTGCTTATACATTGTATGGGTATCATTTCTTGTTTTTTATGTGCACTTTCCCTGCCTATAATTGAAAAATAAATGTTAGCATAGCATTAATAGAATAAAAATGCAAAAAGAATGTAGGCCCTTGTGAATATGTTTTAAAAACTGACATTTAGATGGAGCAAATGGAGCAAATGAAGGAATACTGTAGATTATAGAAGTACATTATAAGACACTCACAATTAGAAAATACTTTCAGGATTGATGGGACCAGCAGTTAGCGTAATGGCTATGTCACTGGACTCCCATGTAGTTGACCGCAGTTCGCGTCCCGGACCTGGTGGCTTAAAACTCACGCCGGGTGCGTGTGCATGCGTGCCCAAGATCCTGAGAGGAGAATGGAGGAGAAGGGACTGTGGTGTGGCCATCCCCATGGGGGGTGATCTCTTGCTTTCTGTCTCTCTCTGTCTGGCGAGTGCACGCACCCTATAGCAAAAACCTCTCCCCCACCCCCCAAAAAATACTTTCAGGATTGAAATACAAAAATATAAAATGGAGGGAACCAGCAGTTAGCATAATGGCTATGTCGCTGGACTCCCACATAGTCAACCGTGGTTCGCATCCTGGACCTGGTGGCTTAAAACTCACGCTGGGCACATGTGCGTGCCTGCCCAAGATCCCAAGAGGAGAATGGAGGAGAAGGGATTGCGGCATGACCACTCCCCCAGGGGGTGATTTCTCGCTTTCTGTCTCTATGTCTCTGTCTGTCTGGCGAGCACACGCCCCCTATAGCGAAAACCTCTCAAAAAAAAAATATATATATATAAAATGGAGATGAGAATAGTGGGCAGATAATGAGAAGGAGAATCAGAACAAAAGTTAATATATAAAAATTTAACTCTAATAAATATGTTAATATCTAAAGGCAAAAATTATGGCAAGAGGACATATAAATTGTGACTGATATTTGAAAGGAATAATAAAATATTAGAAACCTTGTCCCAATGTTTTTCTCGTATATTTTCAAAAACATCATGCACTTAACTAAAGCCTTCAGTTGATAATTTCAAGGACATACCCACTGACCAAGTACCTATCTGTACTGCAGCACAAGTTCCTGCTGCTTACCTGGACCCTGGCCCTGGGAAAAACCTCTCCCTGTCACCATCCACAGCATTTCACCTTGTTGAAAATAGATGATTACATCTGACTTGCAGAACTGACACCCTGTTTATGGGAAAAAAGGAACATGAATTTTTATTTCTGTGCTAATAAGTGGGCATTATCAAGTTCACAGAAGGTTACTGATAAAGAAAAACATGGAAGGCTATTGAGAAAGAAAAGAATCCTAGAAGTCAGCCCAAATAAAATATTTAAAAGAGGAAACACTGAAGGTCTTTCAATAGACTAGGAAGAAATCCAGATTTTGTGCCTCAAATAGGGAAGAACTTGGAATGTTGATTCTCATGACCAAATTCAAAAGCAGAATGAAAATTATTAGCCCTTTCAAAAAAGGAGAAATTAAATGTCTCCACTGGGCTAATTTTATTTTCAAATAGAATCCAGTGAACATAAACTTCACAGGATTAATCAAAGTTCTAATATTTTTACTTTTCTGGCCTCAAGCTTTAGCATAATGTCTAGAACAGAAGAAATGCACTTGATCCTCCATATCTAGAGGCTTCCATTATCAGTAGATTCAATCAACTACAGATTAAAACTATTAAAAAATAAAATAAAATAGAAATAACACTCCAACAATTTAAAAAATAATAAAAATAAAATCTATCAATTAATTAAATAATACTTAAATTATATTAGGTATTAAAAGTAACGCAGAGAGACCAACAGATGGCATAGTGGTTATGTTGCTGGACTCCAAATGGCAGACCACAATTCGAGTCTTGGACCCAGTGGCTTGAAAAGTCACAACAGGTGTGGTACCAGCATGCACAAGATCCCAGGAAGAGATTAGAGGAGAGGAGATTGCATGGCCATACCCCCTGGGGGATGATTTCTCACTTTCTCTCTCACTGTGTTTCTCCCAGAAAGCGCACGTGCCTTAAGGCAAAAACTTCTTTCAAAAACAGAAAGTCAAGCAGAGATGATTTTCAGTGGAGGATGTGTGTAGTAGGTTCTACACAAATATTACACCATTTTACGTAAGGAACTTGAGCACCCTCAGAGTTTGGTATGTAAACAGGTTCAGAAACCAACCTCCAGGGACCAGCAGTTGGTGTAATGACTGTGTCGCTGGACTGGCATATAGTTGACCTCAGTTCTAGTCCCAGACCCAGCGGCTTAAACTCACTCCAGGTATATGTGCATGCATGGCCAAGATCCTGAGAGGAGAATGGAGAAGAAGGGATTGCAGTGTGATCATCCCCCTGGGGGGTGATTTCCCGCTTTCAGTCTTTCTGTCTCTCTCCTGGCAAGTGCACACGCCCTATAGCAAAAACCTCCCCAAGGAAAAAGAAGAAGATTAAAAAAAAAAAAATCCCCAGAGGTTTCTGTAATTATATAGAGTTCCCAGTTCTACTCTGAGTTTTAGAGACTTAGTACCAATAAAGGCATGAAATTGTGGCCTAGATATTCTCATGTACTGAAAAACTACATACAGGTAAAGTGTAAAGAAACAACTTTATTTCACATAGTTATTAGGTATAAGAATCAGGGGCCAGCAGATGGTTCAGTGGTTGAGGTGCTGGACTACCCACATGGCTCACCACAGTTCCACGGCTTGCTTTCTCACTTTCCCTCTATTTCTTGCTGGTGAGCGCATGTGCCCTATAGCAAATTAATAATAATAATAAATAAAATTAAATAAATGATTTAAGAAAAAATAAGACAGAATAGAATGGGTGGATACATATACATACACACATGCGTAACATTGACAGACTCACCAAGAGATACCAGATGATTGATATTTTCCAACATCACATCTTTGTACAGCTTTCTCCCAGGTATGTCCAGAAGGGCCCACTCTTCCTGGGTGAAGTTTATAGTTATATCTTTAAAGGTCACTGATTCCTAGAACATCATGGACATTTAAATTTAGACAGAACAATCCTGCCAATGTCCAGAGTAGAAGGGTTGGGACAATAATACTGAGGCAGAAAAGGAAGCTGGGTATATGGAAAGATCAAATTGTGTTTAGAGTTCCAGTCTATTCTTTCTCAGTGCTGATCTTTGATAACTATTTTTTAAAAAGAATTCTTTCATTTAACTTTATTTATTATTATTACTTTAACATTTCCAGAGAAAGAGAGGGAAAGTGAGAAAGCAAGACTCCAGGTCTGGGACTCGAACCACTGTAGGCCATGTAGGAGACCAGCACCCTTAATCACCATGCCACCTGCCGGCATGATACTATTAATAGAAGTAATATATAGGGAGAATTGTTTCTTTCTGCCTTTCAACATCTGCCTTTCAGATATACTCACAGAGACATATAAACTCTTGAAAATTTTCCAATAAACTATAATTATGACTCCCATATGGATGATTATAAAATTAGTACTCGAAAATTTGTAACTGAAACTCCCTTCCCATCAGTTTTAAGTATCTTTATAGATTCATCACAAGGCAAACAATAACCATGATTTACTACTTTGTAACCATAATTATGCTTAAATTTTTCTCCTAAATGAACTACAGATTCTTCATCTATCAATTGATTTAACAACCTGTTACATATGTTGAAAGATCCAATGGACTAATATATGAAGTCCCAGACCTGAAGTCTTGCTTTCTCACTTTCCCTCTCTCTCTCTCTGGAAATGTTAAAATAATAATAATAAATAAAGTTAAACAAAATAATTCTTTTTAAAAAATAGTTATCTAAGATCAGCACTAAGAAAGAATAAACTGAACTCTAAACACAGTTTGATCTTTCCATATACCCAGCTTCCTTTTCTGCCTCAGTATTATTGTCCCAACCCTTCTACTCTGAACATTGGCAGGATTGTTCTGTCTAAATTTAAATGTCCATGATGTTCTAGGAATCAGTGACCTTTGAAGATATATTTTTTTATTTGGAGGAAAAAAGTATTAAATACAAACCATCTAGAATTCATTCAATATATAGAAAATCTTGGACCAACCTAAAGCATTTTTCATAACTGAACATATTTCTTGTAGAACTTGGGATCTGTGGATATGGTTTCTCTCAACTCTACATGACTCAAGTGTACACACAAAGATTTAAAGGCAGATGGTTTAGCAGCACAAACCAGGCACCTCTGAGGTTGCTGTACTGAAGGACAGCAATTTTCTCTGGGAACTCCAAACACATTTATCAATGCCTCTTTTGTATTGGGTTGTTGGTAAAGTCATGATATATTTTTTGCACAGAAAAACATAGAAGAAATATTGTCTTTTCCAACAACCCAGTATCTATCTTCTCTAAATGCTCAAGAGCAAAAAAGTCCTATTATTGGTCTTGGTTTATCTAATGCTTGGAAATTTTCAACAGGGCCTTAAGTTTTACTCTCCCTAGAAGACTGCTGCTTATGACTTCAGAGCCACAGTTAAAGAAACAATACTCCCTATATATCACTTCCAGTTATCAAATTTGAAAAAAAAATTAATTACATAGAGAAAGCAGTATCATTGCAGACAGGGATGATAATGAAAATTTCAGGTATTTTATTTTGAAAATTTCAAAATCACAAATATATTTTACCAAAACTTTAATAACTTTAAAATAAGGGACTGGACCATGACACAGCATTAAAACACATTGTTAAATCCCTTCTCCTTTGTTCTCCTCTTGGGATCTTGGGCATGCATGCACACATGCCTGGTGTGAGTTTAAGCCACCGGGTCCAGGACTCAAACCGTAGTCAAATACATGGAAGTCCAGAGACATAGCCATTACACTAACTTGTGGTCCCTAAATTTTAAAAAATTGTAAATAACATCAATGGAACCAATAGATGGTGTAATGGCTATGTCGCTAAATTCCCAAATAGTGACCATTGTTCAAGTCCAGAACCCAGTGGCTTAAAACTCAATGGTTAAGGGCACTGGACTCCCATATGGGTGACCATGGTTCAAGTCCTGGACCTAGCAGCTTGCTTTCTCACTTTCTCTCTCTCTCTGTCCCTCTCTGGTCAAATTTTAAAAAGGTAAATAAATAAATAAAGTTAAATAAAATATTTTTTTAAATTCTTTTTAATTAAAATAAAATAAAATAAACTCAAGCCAGGCACATATGCGTGTATGCCTGAAATCCCAGGAGACTGGAAGAGAAGGGATTGTGGTGTGGCCATCACCCCAGGCCCTGGAGGGTGATTTCTCGCTTTCTGTCTCTATGTCACTCTCTGTCTGGCGAGCGCACGCGCCCTATAGCAAAAACCTCTCCAAAAAAAAAAAAAAAAAAAAAAAAAAAAATAGGCAACATACAGGCCAATAAGAGAAATCTATCCATCTCCTGGAAAGGTGAGTGTAATTTCAGTAGAAATAAGCATTCTTTGACAGGGCCATGCAGACAACACAAGCTAGTAAAGAGGCTGCCTCCCATTCTAAGGCAGGGCCTGGACTGGGAAGAAACTGAAGCAAGGCCTGGTTTACGAGCCCTCCTTGTGTCACTTGAACTGGCCGGTATTCAATTTCTCTGCCGTGAGTTTTACTGTTATTACGGTACCCTGCAAGGGTAAAATATCACCCCCAACCAATACAATAAAGCCAATTAGTGATCTTGTAGGAATGTGGTTCCCTAAGACTGACAGGAGGATCAGGAAGTTTAAGACTCCCCCACCTGTCTGTTTTTAAGCCAAAATTAACATATAGATTAAGTTAGTATAAACCAAATTAGCATTAGAAGTATATGTAGACTAAGTTAGTTTAAGGTTAGTTTTAGGTAGATACCCCTTGTTAAAGCTACAGGCCAAAGTTAACTCATGCTAGGCAAAGTCAGCACATTCACCACATAACAGAGACTCAGAGATAAAACAAAAGAACTCACTAATTGACAGACTCAGCAAACAAAATACAGAAACCCGCAGGTTTATAAAGAAAGGAAAAAGCCTGGCTGACGGCAACAGGATAAACAAACCTGAAGGCTCCAGGGAAAGATTATCTTAGCTGGGAGCTCTTAACTAAAGCAAAAGGTAGTTTTCAACTACGAAGAGTTTCTCATCTACGTGCTGTTGACTATGAAAAACTGCTAATAAAACATCCTGTGTTGTCTCCTGAGCTACAAGTTCATCTTCCTTTCCCATATGGGTAATAGACTTGGCATCACATGGATGTGTTTGTATGTCTCTCTAAGGAATAGTTCTGAAAGGTGTTCTCAGTGTCCATGTAAATATGTGAAGATAACCACAATAGCTAGTCATAACTTACTACTAACTGCATTCACAATAAAATGAAGGTAGTTAAAGGCTCAGGAACCATTTTGATAGTCTCGATTTAGAACTGAAGTAAACGTCTATGTTTATTATATCTCTGTGTACTTAGTATTCTTTGTTATTTAATTAATGGGACCAAATAAAACCAGAAAAGCTTGGTTGGGAAAATAACTGTGCAGATAGTACTGTCATAGGAATCAAGAGATTACTAGGGGCAAGCCTCTACAGTTGAGTGACCTTGGGGGAATCAGTTTTCCATGTGAAAAGAAGGTGTTGGATTAGGTCATCTTCAAGGCTATAAAATTCTGTGATTTAATAAACATTGATTTTATTCTTTAGGCTCAGGATGTACATTCAAACTAAAATTATCTTAAGGAACATTTCAATATCCACTTTCAACAGAGGATGACCTCTTTACAAACCGAAATAAAGTGTATAACTAATGAAAGTATATAAAGCTTATAGATGTTATATACAGAGAGACTTTGAATTTTTGTATCTTTAAAGCAGTCTAGCCACTTTGAATTTTAGTGATTATACTAATCATAAATTGCATAGCATCCATTTTGATAGAATTGCAGCTCAAATATAAGAATAGTTTTTAATGTCTTAATGACTGCTGCTGCTAACTTGCATGATTTCAGAAGATATAATTGTGAATACATGCTATCAGGTGTGGGTTTCTAAAAATAATTATTTATTTAATTTTATTTATTATTCTTTAATTTGATGAGAGAAAGAGAGAGAGGAAGAGAGAAAGAGAGAGCAAACCACAGGTCCAAGACTCAAACCGTGGTCAGCCATGTGGGAGTCCAGCACAGTGCCTGCCGGCACAGTGGGGGCTGTTTTTTACCCTAGATGTTGCTCTTTCTAAAAGCAATATACACTTGAGATGCATTTGTGACTCAAATTAAAGTATATAAAAGGTTTTATTGAATATGTGTCAAAGCATTCTACAGATTAGGGTAGGATAGACATTGTCCTAGTTGTTTTGTAGAATCAAAAACCAGTAAGTACATTGTCTTTTAGGGTAAAACTTGTACCAAGATATTTATTTCTCCCATTTCAAGTCATAAGTCAAACATTTTTTCTTTTAATAGATCGGCCTCGGATATGTTTTCATTAGTGTTTTTGTGAAATCAGTTAATTCTTGTGACTCTTTTATACATGTAATTGTGATTTGATACATTTTAAGCCCTTTAAGAAATATGTTGGCATCCTTTGAGATATTTTATTGCTAAATCTAATCTTTTTGCTTACTGCCAAAAACCTATTCGGAAGGAAGGAATCAGCTACATACCTTGCATGGTGGTGTTGGCTACCTATAAATGCCAAGATAGTTGTGTTCCTTTTTGGCAGATGTTTTGATCTCGTGTGTGTGCGCTGCATACAAATAAACATGTTCTGAATCTTTTCATCTAATTGATAAGGTTTTTACAAATGTGTTTCCAAGACGATTATTGCCTTTTTTTTTAACTCCAAAATTAATAATACCAAGTGGAATTAAATAAACAATTCATTAAAAAATAAAACTCCGTTTCACTGAGGTCTTCTTGTTTTTCTAGTCTCTACATAGTTCATTTTTGTTTTGATATTTGTTAATGACTTTCTTCTGATAAATTTGGGCTTAGCTTGTTCTTTTTCTAGTTCCTTAGGGGTGTTACATTAGATCATGTATTTGTGATCTTTCTTCCTTTTTAAAAAATTTTTAAACTTTATTTATTTTATTTTTAATTTGACCAGAGAGGGACAGAGAAAGAGAAAGCAAGCTGCCAGGTCTGGGACTTGAACCATGGTCAGCCATGTGGGAGTCCAGTGCCTTTAACCACCATGCCATCTGCCAACCCCTCTTTCTTCCTTTTTGATACAGGTATTTATTGTTATAAATTTCCCTCTTAGGACTGCTTTTGTTCCATTTAGTAAGTGTTCATAGGTCACATTTCCATATTCATTTATCTCAAGATATTTTAAAATTTAATTTAAATTCTTTTGTGACCCACTGGACATTTAAGAGCATATTTTTTACATATATTTGTGAATTTTCTTTTTTTAAAAAATTTTTCAGGGAACCAGCAGTTAGTGTAATGGCTGTCGCTGGACTCCCATGTAGTCGACCGCAGTTCACGTCCTGGACCCGGTGGCTTAAAACTCACGCCGGGCGCGTGTGCGTGCGTGCCCGAGATCCTGAGAGGAGAAGGGATTGCGGTGTGACCATCCCCCCTGGGGGGTGATTTCTCGCTTTCTGTCTCTATGTCTCTCTCTGTCTGTCTGGAGAGCACATGCGCCCTATAGTGAAAAACCTCTCCAAAAAATTAATTAATTAATTAATTAAATAAATAAATAAACATTTGTCAGAGGGCTTGTACACTCACCAGAGGGGGGGGGAGAGGGAGAAAGATTCCCAACAGGTCCCATAATCCCTTCCCCTCCATTTCTCCAACCTGTTGGGATTTGGGGCATGCATGCATTCATGCCCAGCGTGTTTTTCAAAAAAATAAGGCTAGGATTTGAACTACATGGTTAGCCATGTGGGATCTGGCTCCCTTAAACACTAGGGCACAAAGCTAACCCTGTGAATTTTCTAATAGTTCTCCTTATTTATATATGTTCTTTATATATATATGTATTATATATTTCTATTGATGTCTAGTTTCATGCCATTGTGATTGGAGAAGATAAGTGATATAAGTTTGATCTTCTTAAATTTGCTAAGACCTGTTTTGTGTCTCAACATATGAACAATCCTGAAAATGCTCCATGTGCATTTCAGAACATGAATTCTGTTGCTTTTTGATTAAATGTTCTGTATGTCTGTTGGATCCATTAGATCTAAGGTGTAATTCAAGTTCAGTGTTTCCTTATTGATTTCCTGTCTAGATGATTTGCCTATTGTTGAAAGTGGGGTACTGAGGTTCCCTAATATTACCTTTTTAAAAAATAATTATTTATTTGTGTTTATCTATCTATTTATTATTATTATTAATTTTACCAGAGAGAGAGGAGAGAGAGAAGGAAAGTGAGAAAGCAAGCCACCAGGTCTGGGACTCAAACCATGGTCAGCCATGTGGGAATGTCCAGCGCCTTAACCACGACCCCACCTGCTGGTCTCCCCCTAGTATTATCATATTGCAACCTATCTCTTCCTTCAGGTCACTTAATAATTGCTTTATATATTTGTGTGCTCCAATGTTGGGTGCATATGTACATATGGTTGTTATGTATGCTTAATTAATTCACCCCATTATTATTATATAATGACCCTTTTGTCTCTTTTTACAATTTTTGACTAAAATCTGTTTTGTTGAATAAAAGTATAACTACTCCTATTTACATTTGGTAAAATTTCTCTATCTTCTTCTGAAACTACCATTATGGCAAAAATTGATAGTTTCTCATAATTCCTAAAAGTCTTTTTTCTTTTTTTTTTTGTTTTGCTCCTGTGGCTAATTTCAAATATCTTGTATTTGAACTCACTAATTATCCTCCTTCTGTTCAATCAAGACTGCTGTTGAAGCTTCTGTTGAATTTTTCAATTAAGTTATAATATTATTTATCTCTAGGATTCTTTTTTTTTCCCTATTGCTTCTATTTCTGTGCTGAACTATTTTCCAAATTTTATTTTTCTATCCATACTTTCTTATATTTTCCTAAACTTCTTTAAGATGATTACTCTGGAGACCAGCAGATGGTGTAGTGATTACGTTGCTATACTCCCACATGGCCAACTGTGGTTTGAGTCCCAGAGCCAGTGGCTTCAAACACGCTGGGTGTATGTATGTGCGTGTGTGCCCAAGATCCCAGGAGGAGAATGGAAGAGAAGGAATTGAAGCATGGCCATCCCCTCTGGAGGGGTGAGTTCTCAATTTCTGTCTCTCCAGCTCTCTCTGTCTCTCCAGCAAGCACATGTAACCTATAGCAAAAATCTCTCCAAGTAATTAGAAGAAGAAAAAGAAGAAGATCACTCAGAACTTTTTTGTCAATTATTTCATAGATCTCCATTTCCTAACATCCATTGTTGGAGCTTCAATAATTGTTTATTTCTTAGTCGGTGGTTTTATCTTTTACTGGTTTTTCATAATCTTTGTCTCCTTGTGCTGATGTTTAAGTATTTGAGAAAATGTTCATCTCTTCTGGACTTTGCAGTTATTCTCTGGTGCTGATAGACCTTTGCTAATCCTAATGCTATCCCTAAATTAGTCTAGCCTGGGATTCTGAATGGGTTGAGTTCCCTGGTTGATCTGTATATGCTGGTATCTGGAAGAACAAGGTTATAAACATCACATTCTGACTTCAAAATATGTCATAAAGCTATTGTAACCAAAACAGCATGGTACTGGCATTAAAAAAACCAAACACATCAACAAATGAAACAGATTAGAAATCACAGAAATAAAACCACATATATAGCCAATTTTTGATGAAAGTCTCAAAAACATACAACATTGAAAGGGCAGTCTCTTCAAGAAATAGTGCTAGGAAAACTAGATATCCACAAGGAGAAGAATGATCCTTACCTTATACCACATACTACAACAAAAACTTCAAAATTGATTAAATCATTCTTATTAGTCCTAAAACTGTAAAAATTCTAGAAGAAAACCTAGAGAAAAAGCTCCACAGCACCGAGCAGCAAAATGATTTTTTGAATATAACTCCAAAAGCATAGGCAACAAGAACAAAAACAGACAAATGGGATGCCAGCAAATTAAAAAGTGTCTGCGCAGCAAAAGAAACAATAAACAAATTGAAGGGACAACCCACAGAGTGGGAGAAAATACATTTGAAAATCATGTATCTGGTAAGAGGTTACTATCCAAAATAACCCCAATATAAGAAATGCAAACAACTCAATGGTAATAAAACCTGATTTGGAGCCAGCAGGTAGTGTGGTGGTTAAGGTGCTGGAACCCCACATTGCTGACTGCTGTTCAAGTCCTGAACCTGGTGACTTGCTTTCTCACTTTCTTTCTCTCTCTCTCTGGTGAAACTTAAAGTAATAATAATAAGGTCTCTGTGTGCAGGCGCAGGTCGTGGGCCATAGGTCAGTCGACCCAAGAGGCCCTCTAGCTAGGTAAGGCCACGCACCGGGGCCTTGGAGTCGCCGCCACCATGGTTAGCCAGTCGCAGAGGATCCAGCAGTTGCTGCAGGCCAAGAAGAAGGCCACCAAGAAGGTGTCTGAGGCCCGCAAATGAAAGAACCGGAGGTTGAAGCAGGCCAAAGAAACAGCTCAGGCTGAAATTGAACAGTACCGCCTGCAGAGGGAGAAAGAATTCAAGGCCAAGGAAGCCACGGCTCTGGGATCCCATGGTAGTTGCAGCACTGAAGTGGAGAAGGAGACCCAGGAGAAGATGACCAACCTCCAGAACTATCTCCTACAGAACAGGGATGAAGTCTTGGATAACCTGTTGACCCTTGTCAGCAACATCCAGCCAGAAATCCATGAAAACTACTGCACAAATGAATACAAGAAGAATGAAGTGCCTGTCCCATGGATTGGCATCTTAGATGCCCTCATGGAATATGAAACATTACAGAGCTCCAGTTATATTCTTGGGAAAGGCATTAAATTATTTCTGTATATTATATAGCAGGTCCTTTCACTTTTTGCAGAGTAACAAATCTAGCTTCTTTGTATAGATTTAGAACTTATCCAAAGAATTCATCTTTTTACCTCATATTTCTTAGAAATGTAATGGGTGTATGTTGTTTTCCTATGCCTTTAGCTCAAGCAACACATATCTCAATGTTAACGTTTTCTGTTTTAGATCTAGTAAAAAAGGAGATTCTTTGAAGAAAGAAAGGAATCAATTTTTTTTTCCCTAGTGCTTTCCTGAAGGTCAGGGGCTTTATCTATGAAAAAGTAGTGAGTAGTTACTTGTAACCTGTGTGAAGCAGCAGCCAGCCTTAAAGTAGTCCTTTCTGGCTAAAGGATGGAACAGAGACTCCAAGTGTAATCGTTTGGGATGCTTTTAGTTTCTTTGAATCAAATAGTAGATAGAATTCACAAACTTGTTATATGTTATTACTTGGTGTACTGGTATCATTTAAAAGTAAAAGATTCTTTATCATGAAATTAATTAATTAATTAATTAATAAAATTAAATATTAAAATAAAATAATTCTTAAAAGAGAAAACAACTTGGGAACCAGCAGTTAGCATAATGGCTATGTCGCTGGACTCCCACGTAGTCGACCGTGGTTCGCGTCCCGGACCCGGTGGCTTAAAACACGCCGGGCACGTGTGCGTGCGTGCCCAAGATCCTGAGAGGAAAATGGAGGAGAAGGGATTGTGGCGTGACCATCCCCCCTGAGGGTTGATTTCTTGCTTTCTGTCTCTCTGTCTCTCTCTGTCTGTCTGGCAAGCGCACGCACTCTATAGAAAAAAATCTCTCCAAAAAAAAAAAAAAGAGAGAGAGAGAGAGAGAAAACAACTTGATTGAAAAAATTGGGCAAAAATGGGACCAGCAGGTGGTGTAGTGATTGGGGCGTTGTACTTACACATGGCCAACATGGTTCAAGTTCTGGACCTGATGACTTGCTTTCTTTCTCTCTCACTCTCTGGTAGCTATAGAAAATTCTAAAAATAATAATAATAAATAAAATAAAATAACTCTTTAAAAAAATGGGTGAAGAACCTGAACAGACATTTCTCAAAAGAAGACATACATTCTTGAAAAATACTCAGCATCACTAACATTTAGAGAAATACAAATTACAACTACAATGAGATATCATCTCACACCTTTCAGAATGACTTTTTATTAAATAGATAGAAAAGTGAAAAAGAAAAAAAAAAGGTGGGATATGTACCCCCAAGGATGCACAAAAAGGGCAATACTTTTACACTATTTGTTAAAAATAAATTCACTATAAAAATAATGACGTTTTTTCAAGAAACTAGGAGCAAACCTACTATAAGACCTATCAATCCTACCTCTGGGATATTCAAAGGAACTAAAGTCAGTATTCCAAGAGGATATCTGCATTCCCATGTTTGCTGCAGCATTATTTCCAATATCCAAGATAGGGAATCAATCTAAGCATCCATCAATGGATGACTGAAAAATAAAAATGTGGTATATATACTCTTAAATATTATTAAGCCTTCAAAAAGAAGTAAATTCTGTCATTTAAAAGATGATAAAGCCCAGAGAAGAAGCCACGGGCCTTCAGAACAAGGTTCCACATGGCTACTGTGAACTAGATTTTTAAGGGAATGAAGATTTTCTACTAATAATTCAGCCTCCAACAAACGAGCTAGCGACAGATCTAAGAGCACTGTAGCTAAACATTCAAATACTAATAGGATTGAAATATTCCCCACTATCTACTGAATCTGCTACACCAGCAAAGCACAATAGGACAGCAAAGAGATTCTGGATCACCTCTGTCTGCTTGCTCCTGAACATTAAGGCTGAACCTCAAGAATTTGAAAGAAACACAACATTCATCAGATGACAAGAAATCACCACCGGATCACGAGAGACATGGGAAAACAAGAAAATACCTCTCCTCCTAGGGAAAAGAGTAACTCTTCATCCACAAGCAGTTCGGTGAAAATCATGGAAATGTCTGATAAGGAATTCAGATCATTCATAATGTCTAAGCTAACAGAGATGGAAGAGAAGAGAGATAATGAACTGCTAAAGAGAAAGGAGAAAGAAATTGACAAGTTCCAAGAGATGAGGGAATTCCTGCAAGATCTAAAAGTGGAATTACACACTTTACAAAAGATTCAAACGGAACTGCTAGAGATGAAGTCTATAATACAAGAAGTAAAAATCTCCCTGGAAAGTATTAAAAGCAGACTAGATCATTCAGAAAATAGAATCTCAGATGTAGAGGAAAAAATGGCTGGCCTAGAAAAATCCACCATGAAGACTGAGAAAATGGCACAAAAATTTGAGAATAATATGCGAGAAGTACTGGATACCATCAAACGTCCAAATATCCGGATAATTGGCATTCCAGAAGGTGAGGAAACCCATAAGGGCATTGATAATCTATTCCATGAAATCCTGCAAGAAAACTTTCCAAACCTAGAGAGGCATTCGAAGATCCAGTCCCAGGAAATACAAAGGACCCCAAATAGAATCAACCCAAGAAGATCTTCTCCAAGACACATTATAGCCAGGTTGACCAAAACTGCAGACAAAGACAAGATACTAAGATTAGCAAGAGAAAAACAGCAAGTTACCTACAAAGGACATCCCATCAGGCTAACAGCAGATCTCTCATCGGAAACAATACGAGCGAGGAGAGAATGGGAAAATATATTCCAAGTGTTAAGAGAGAAGCAGTTTCAGCCAAGAATACTGTATCCGGCAAGATTATCTTTCAGGTGGGAAGAAAAGACAAGAACATTCTCA